CTCCCAAGTAGCTGGGACCACAGGCACCCGCCACAATGCCTGGCTATTTTTTGGTTGCAGCCATCATTGTTGTGTGGCGGGCCCAGGCTAGATTTGAACTCGGCACCTTAGGTGTATGTGGCTGGCTCCTTAGCCACTTGAGCCACAGGTGCCGAGCTGCCAAATCTTAAAGAAAATAAAAAAAGAAGAAATATTTCAAAATCATTCTACTTGATCTGGATACACCTGATATTAAAATTGGAGAAAATATATTATTTTACAGGGGACATGACAAACATATTTCACTTATAAATGAGGATACAATATCCTAAACAATATATTACCAGATTGAGTTAAAAATTAATGTTTAAGTAATGTGTTTTGGTCAAAATTAAATCCAATTTATGTGAGAATTAGTCACTATTTTCTTTTCTTTTGTCTTTTTTTTTCCTTCTAGGATTTTTTTTTTTTTTTTTTTAGCAAGAGTTGGAGACAAGTTAAAATTAATCACCAAATAAGTAGTATATATACCAATGGAATAAATAAAATATAGATGACCTAAAATAGGTACCCTCTGGACTCAGCCAGTATGAGTAAGAATTGTTATTAGTGATCTGCTCTGTTTGTGTCTTAATTCCTCTGTTACATTTCCTCCCATTCTGTCTACCCTTGCAGACTTCCTGATTTTAAGAACTGTGAGACTCACCCCTTTTTTCAGACAGACACCCACAAAATTATCATGTTACTATATCACAAAGTCTCTGTGCACTTTGTGTTTTTTGCTTTCTTTGGCCACAGTACATTTTAAGAAGGGTGGAGATGAAATGAAGGTTGTGAAATCAGGCAGGAAATGAATGTTAAGGGTCAAATGTCTCAGTTCCAGAATTTTGACAGATACAAAGCAGACCACTTGTTTTGAAGGCCAGATTTGACCCTGTTGTAAGGTAATCAAAGCTTTGAAGGAAAATTCATATAATCACTTACACTGAGTCAAGGGCACTTCTCCTAGTCATTAGGAAAGGCCCTAAGACTGTGTTGACAGATTGAAAATAAAGTAGGGTGTGAACCTGAACAACAGTTGATAAGCACGAGGCCCGTGATTACTTGAGTTCACGAGTTCAAGACCGCCTGAGCAAGAGCGAGACCCTGTCTTTACTAAAAATACAAAAACTAAGGCAAGAGGATCGCTTAAGCCTAAGGGGTGAATGTTACTGTGGGCTATCATGACGCCACAGCACTCTACCCAGGGAGATAGCTTGAGACTCTGTCTAAAAAAAAAAAAAGAACGGGCGGCACTTGTAGCTTAGTGGGTAGGGTGCCAGCCATATATACTGAGGCTGGCGGGTTTGAACCAGGCCCAGGACAGCTAAAAACAACAATGACAACTGCAATGAAAGAAATAGCTAGGCGTTGTGGCGGATGTCTGTAGTCCTAGCTATTTGGAAGGCTGAGGCAACAGAATCACTTAAATCCAAGAGTTTGAGGTTGCTATGAGCTGTGATGCCATAGCACTCTATCAAGGGCGACAGCTTGAGATTCTGTCTCCAAAAAAAAAATCAAGAAGCAAATAGCCCTTCACAAGCCTTGCATTCTGGGTAGGCTAAATAACTCACAGACATGTACAGCCTTAATGCACAGGCAGGTTAGATAGATAGTGGGCACAATTTTCTTTCCTTCTTGGACACTCGGGTTTTTCTTTTCACTTCTTTTCCTCTTAAATCCTCTCTTTCCTACACTGCCATTTATAAATTTGAAGTGCATTTTGTTTTAAATGTCTTATTTATTAAAGTTGTGTTTCTGGCTCTTGACTTTAAAATGATATTTAATGATCTCAATCAGAACTCAATGAGAGCTAAGTAAATTTTTTTTTAAATTTTGTGCCTCTGAGTTGATCTCGCAAATTAGTAGCTTTAACTATTTTCTTCTCCATCATTCTATAAATTAAATAGGTTCTATCCATGAAGTAATGAAAAAAAAAAAGACAAATGAAGCAAAACAAAACCCCCTACCATCTATAATCTGCATTCCATGCCTCTATCCGTTTGAGGGCATAAACACAAGGTACCCATTCCTCTTCCCACTGACTCTAAAAACATTTTGCCTAAAATGAATCTAAATCAAGGCTGTTTATTATGATACAAACTTATAAACCAGTGTATAACCTCATTCCCACCCCTCATCATTTCCCTATATCAGTACTTACATTGCACCCCCAGCATTACAATTGTCACCAATGATCCCAGGCAAATAATCCCTAGAGTCACAGCAACTGGGCACCAACATGGAGAAGAAAGAAACTGAAGACCTAGAGTGACAGAGGAAAGAATCAGAGACAGAAAAGGATGAGACACAATCAAACCCTTCTGTGGATCCTGTCTATACTTGGTGCTCTGTATTCTTTACCTCTGATCCTCCCAGTGGTTCTGCAAATAATCCTTTATACATAGTTACAAGTGAAAAATACAGGCAGTTAAAAAATGTAAGTAATTTACCCATGGTCACATAACTGGAAAATTTCAGAGCCAGGATTCAACACCAGATATGTAACTCTGAATATCACTGATATTCAGTGTAACTCTTCCTATAAGTGACTCTTCCAGAATCTCCTTTTTTAATACGAAGTCTCACTATGTAGCCCTAAGTAGAGTGCTATGGCATCACAGCTCACAGCAACCTCAAACTCCTGGGCTTAAGCCATTCTCTTGCCTCAGGCTCCCAAGTAGCTGGGACTATAGATGCCTACCACAACGCCCAGCTATTTATTGGTTGTAGTTGTCATTCTTGTTTGGCAGGCCTGGGCTGGGTTCGAACCTACTAGCTTCAAGTGTATGTTGCTGGCACCCTAGCTGCTGAGCTACAGGCACTGAGCCTCTTTCAGAAACTCTTATTCCAGTTTATTTGAATTAACTTCATCCATCGTGCAGAAAGTCTGATGTGTTTGATATAGATTGTGTGTATACACATGTGCATGCATGCACAAATATATAGTGTGCTTCATAAGTAACATAAACAAATGCCAGACATCAAGCAAATACACTTAATCAGTTAATCAGCTGACCCAAAGAATTGTATGCATTTTTTTTTTTTTTATAGAGACAGAGTCTAACTTTGTCGCCCTCAGTAGAGTGCTATGACATCACAGCCCACAGCAACCTCCAGCTCTTGGGCGTAGGCGATTCTCTTGCCTCAGCCTCACAAGTAGCTGGGACCACAGGCACCTGTCACAATGCCTGCTACTTTTTTGTTGTTGCATTTTGGCCGGGGCTGGGTTTGAACCCATCCCCCTCGTATATGGGGCCGGCACCCTACTTACTGAACTTCCCGGTATGTATATTTTATGCTATCCAATTTTTATTCAACTAAAAGTATACCTTGGAACTGGGGTTATTGACCAAGGAAAATTAGGAATAAAATCTCAATATTCATCTGGCTTTTATGGTATATGAACATCATGTCCTACACTCACACCAAGTGTGGACCTTTTCATTAAGAGAACAATTCACCACTTTTATAAAAGCAAATAAATCATGTAGCTCATAGATGTATGAATATCTAATTATGTCTTCTATTACCCACACACACACACACACACACACAAAACCCACAACCAAACAAACAAAAAATCATAGATATTGCTGGCTCAGCAGGAAAACATCCCATGTGACATGTTTGGTTTCCTCACCTCGTGAGATAAACAAATAAAGCACTAATATTGTTGTCCTTTGTGTGCACATTTAAGAAACAGAAAGTTTCAGGGACTTGCTTAAGATCATCCATACGCTAAAATCCAAACCTAGATCTTAAGTCTAATCGTCAGCAGCTACATGACTTGAAACACGACATCACAAAAATTCCAGTGTGAACACATCATGATGCAAGTCAGTTGGTGGTCACATATATTCACTGAGTTTTCATGTGTCAAAAGCCCTGTGTTAGAGATAAAAATATATATATATATGGCTCGGCACCTGTGGCTCAAGCAGCTAAGTCTCCAGCCACATACACCTGAGCTGGTGGGTTCGAATCCAGCCTGGGCCTGCCTAACAACAATGATGGCTGCAACCCAAAAATAGGCAGGTGTTGTGGCGGACTCCTGTAGTCCCAGCTACTTGGGAGGCAGAGGCAGGAGACTTGCTTGAGCCCAGGAGTTGGAGTTACTGTGAGCTGTAATGCCACAGCACTCTACCCAGGGTGACAGCTTAAGGCTCTGTCTCAAAAAAATAAAAAATAAAAAATAATAATATATACATATATACATATATATATATATAAATTGGACAGAGAGGAATGTGGTTCATTCTCTGATTTAATAGTTATTGATGGGCGGTGCCTATGGCTCCGTGAGTAGGTCCCAGGCCCCATATACCGAGGGTGGTGGGCCAGCCTCAGGCAAAATGCAACAAAAAAATAGCTGGGTGTTGTAGTGGGCGCCTGTAGTCCCAGCTACTTGGGAGGCTGAGACAAGAGAATTGGCTAAGCCCAAGAGCTGGAGGTTGCTGTGAGCTGTGATGCTACAGCACTCTACCGAGGGTGACAAAGTGAGACTGTCTCTAAAAATAGTTATTGGCTTCTAGAGTATATGTGGTAAGCTGCAGAGAAGTAGAAGGTAGCTGTGTCTCTTGCAAATAATTGCCTAACTCTAGCCTCATGGGCAAATATCTCTTTGTAAATCTTTCAACCAACCTTTCCTTCTTTGTTCATCTTTCCCTCAGTGTTCATTCCATAGATGAGATGTCAGGTATGCCCATCACTCTTTTTTTTTTTTTTTTTTTTTTAAGACAGAGTCTCACTATGTCACCCTCAGTAAAGTGCAACAGCAACCTCAAACTCTTGTGCTTAAGAGATTCTCTTGCCTCAGTCTCCCAAGTAGCTGGGACTCCAGGCACCTGCCACAACGCCCAGCTATTTTGTTTGTTGTAGTTGCCATTGTTGTTTGGCAGGCCCAGGCTGGGTTAGAAGCTCCAGTGTATGTGGCTAGCACTCTAGCTGCTAAGCTACAGGCATCTAGTGGTGCCCATCACTCTTGAATAATGAAAACCTCCTGAACTGTTAGAAGAAAAAAAATCGCAGGACCCACACCTGTGAAAAGAAGGCTCATGTTCCCATTTCCCACTGTCCCCCTTTTCCTGTCTCCTTGGTGGGCATAAAATAATAATTCAGCTTCTACCCCTAATAGTGATTTTCTAATTAGAAAGTAATCAGGCTCGGCGCCTGTGGCTCAAATGGCTAAGGCGCCAGCCACATACATCTAAGGTGGCGGGTTCAAATCCAGCCCGAGCCCACCAAACAACAATGATGGCTGCAACCCAAAAATAGCCGGGCGTTGTGGCAGGCGCCTGTGGTCTCAGCTACTTGGGAGGCTGAGGCAGGAGACTCGCTTGAGCCCAGGAGTTGGAGGTTGCTGTGAGCTGTGATGCCACGGCACTCTACCCAGGGTGACAGCTTGAGGCTCTGTCACCAAAAAAAAAAAAAAGTAATCAGATTCTTTGCAGTAGGTAACTGATCTAATCAAGATTCTGAAAAAAGGCATTGATTTAATAACTACAGTACAAGTCAGGCACTGAGTATTTATTACACAAATAATAAATGATTGAACAAATGACTGTTGTTAACTTCTAACTCTACCTATAAATGCCGGCGCTGTTTTTATACCAGTTTAGTTCATCCACTTAAATGTTAAACCATTTTATGCTCACATTTATTTTCCCTATTGAGAGAAATTTCTCTCTTACTGCAGGAAACATGATCTAGAATTTGTGTATCTAAATTTCTGACAATACTCATCCATCTTTCTTCTTCATATTTTGTTCATTTTTCTCAGAATGGATACAAAGTAAGAGGTTATTTATTCAGATGGTTTGTGGAATTGAAATCAGGAATTAATTCATACCATTGCTGTTTAATTCACTGTGTTGGACAGAAATTAGAGTTTTTGGAAGCAGTCATACACAATAAAATGTAACAATACTGAGTATAACTGAACATACTTTGGATAATTCATAAGATATTTTTGGGTTTTGCAGTGCCTCAGAGCCACTTGTAAAAACATCATTGTATACACTGGGTAAACTTATTTCCTGAACCTTCCGATGCAATGGATTCTGATTAAATGGGCACAATTCTAGCTCTGCCAACAAACCTGGGAGATTTTCTTAGTTCCTCTGATCCCCAGTCAGGATCTGTAAAAAGGAGATAATAACAGTCCCAAATTCCTCATGTTATTGTGAAGATTCAGAGAAACAAGACATTTAAAGGCAGTAGCATAGAGAATAACCTTTAGTAAATGCTAGCGTAAATTAATTGTCTTTGTCATCATTAACCTCATCCTCACCATTCTACCCTACTTGGTTTTGAGTAAATGCTACTAATTCTAGTACATTTCCCCCTACTTGGGCGTTTTAGCTTTCTAATCCCATGAGACTCTCTCACTGTACACATCTGCCCACCCCCAGTACCTTTAGCTTTCTTTCCATTTGACTTCTCATCAGCCTGGTCCTTCATTGTTTTGGTCTTGAGGTCATCAAAAGTTATTGCCAAATTCTTGCCAAGAATGAGAGAGTGAAGCGGTCAAGAACTTCACCAAACTAAAAATGTGTGTGCTTCTGCTGGAGTGTTTAAATAGCTGCTCTTATCTAATAGAAGAGTGACTCAATCATTGGTAGGAGGAAGGGGAGGCTTTGCTTCATATTGGGAAGTTGGCTGACGCAAATTCCTGTGTTATGTCTCTTGCAGGTGGAGAAAGTGGTGATACTCATAGTGTTTCAGGATATTTCGCTAGGTAATTTATGAAAGGGAAAACTGTGTTTTCCAAGAGCATTAGAGGAAAGGCATTGCCATTTTTCAGATAAAGAAACTGAAATTCAAAACAAGTGTCTTGCACTAACTTTGTGAAAGACTGCATTTGGATCAGATCATTTGATTCCAATGTTTATATATTTGTTTGTTTGCTGATTTCACTTGAGCAGACGGTCTCTGTATTTTGTCTTTTATAAGTCATACATTGTCCTCTTTAATTTCCACTGTTTTAATTGGTGATAGATTTCATAATTTAGGGGTAAATCACATATTACTCCCATTTACAGGCATGGTACCTGGGTACTTTGAGGATGTGAGTGAGGTACTGGTTTGTACAGTGGTAGTAGGACATAGCTGCAGAAAGTACTTTGAGCACTGTGTATAGGGCTGGCTTCAAATCTTTCCATTGGTCTATAATCTTGGGAAATTACTTACCATTCTGGATTTGTGTTTTTGTCTATAACTGGTGATAATATCTACTTGATCCTATTGCTATAGGGATTTAAATGAGATAGTGGATGAAAATAACAAGATTTGTACTTGAAGCATAAGAACTCAACAAATGGCTTGGTGCCTGTAGCTCAGTGGTTAGGGTACCAGCCACATACACCAAGGCAGGTGTGTTCGAGCCCAGCGCCAGCCTACTAAACAACAATGACAACTACAGCAACAAAGAAAAATAGCTGGGTGTTGTGGTGGGCACCTGTAGTCCCAGCTACTTGAGAGGCTGAGGCAAGAGAATTGCTTGAGCCTAAGAGTTTGAGGTTGCTGTGAGCTATGATGCCATAGCACTCTACTGAGGGTGATAAAGTGAGACTGTTCCAAAGAAAAATAAATAAAAAGAACACAGCAAATAATAGTTATTGCTGTAGTAGTAATATTCACCATAGTTGAATTACCTAGCACAGAATATATTTTAGTCAAAACATTGACTTGTGTCACAAAGACTCTTCCATGGGATCCCCATAAGTACATCTATATGTATTCACTAATAGACTATTCCCATATTTTCCCATCACAACCTCCTAACTCGAAATATCTTATTGACACATGACATCACAAAAATTCCAGTGTGAACATGTCATGATGTAAGTCAATTGGTGATCACATATATTCATAGAGTTTTCATGTGTCAAAAGCCCTGTGTTAGAGATAAAAAGAAAATAAGAGAATCACCTAAGCCCAAGAACTGGAGGTTGCTGTGATCTGTGACGCCATCGCACTCTACTGAGAGTGATAAAGTAAGACTGTCTCTACAAAAAAAAAAAAAAGTTTTGCTCTTATCACACTGGACACATAAAATCCACGGCATGTAGCAAATATATCTTAGTCAAATATTTGTATCAAATCAATGTTTCTTACCTTTATCACCCAAGCCTGATTTCTCTTAACTGGAGCACCAAGAAGCAAGACCCCAAATGGATACATCTCCGCACTCACAATGGTGGCTTTCACATAAACAGAATCTCAGGAAATTAATCTTTAACAATGAATTAATAAATACCAAAATGATATCACACTGGGAAGGACACATTATCATTTCTACAGTGACTCAGTTATTTTGGATCCATTAATATTACATAGTATAACATGTTTGCCACTGTAACTATTTTTAGTTGTATTGTTTAGTGCCATTGAGTACATTTACATGGTTGTGCAACCATCCCCACCACCCACCTCCAGAAATTTTCATTGTT